GGCATTTCCCATATTAAAAAAACAAAACAGTTCAGGGCCTTCTCTTGGGCTGAGTATCTGTGCGCATGAGTGGCAGAAGAACCCACCAGTGGTGAGGGTGGGGGGTGTCCACTCACTCAGGCCTCCCCTCTAGAGATGGAGGTGTGCAAAAAGTCAGGCAGGGGTGGCAATGAACAGATACCAAAAAAAAAAAAACAAAAACAAAATCAGAACACAGCAAAACTGACAAAGTGTAGTATAGTCCACCTTTGCTGCAAGGTTCCGAGTCGTTTTTCCATGGTGTGTCTGCTCTCCTGCTTGGTCTTGCCCTTTGGTTTCACTCAAGTTGTCTGCTTGGGGGGCCACTGAGCCCAGCAGATTCAAAAGTACGTGATTTCTTACTTTTGCTACAAGTTCCACTAGCTATAAGCCTTCAAATCTTTATATATTCCTATTTCTGTGGTTCTGAGTTTTGGAGCTCTGCCCTAGATCTGCTTTGCCTGGTATTCTGTAGTATCAATGACAGCGAACTTCACTGCATCTCCACCCTAGCTGCCATTAATATTATCTTATCTGGAAAGATATCCAGGATGTTCCAGAAAAAAAGCAAATTCATGAATAGCAGCATAGAAAGCATAGAATTTTTATTTTCAAAACCAGTATTTTTATACGGATAATGTATGTACTATGTGTGTATACACAAACACATATATATGAGGGGATTTCAAACAGTTGTTGGAAACTTCCCAGTGTCTTTTAATTTACTTTTTCCAGGAACTTTTTTTTTTTTTACTTTTTACTGTGATTTGAGTGAAGGTTTACAGACAGGATCATCAGTTTTACATTCAACCAATCATACATTTTGTTTCATCTCAATGATTGCAATCCCACTTCTTCTCTGTGGTTCCTATTTGCCTTCCACCCACTTTACCATCCCTTCTCAACTTTGTCCTTAGGAAAATGTAGCCCTTTTGATTTTGAATGATTGATCATTCCATGGTGAGCATATCTTACTAGTGTTGTTGTACCCCCTACATACCTATTTACTATTTGGATGAAAATTGGATTATGAGGGTGACTTCCTTTCCAGACTTGAAGGGTGGTCAAGGATCATAGTCTCAGATTCTTCCAGTCTCTTTCTGACCAGTAAGCCCAGTCTTTTAAAAAATTTTATATATATATAATTTTGAGTATTGTTCTACATTTTCTGCCACTCTATCTGGGACCTTCTAATGTGATCTTTTGCAGAGCAGTTGATAGGGGTAGCTGGGCACCATCTACTTTTTCTGGTCTCAGAGTCATGGCAACTGATTTTCACATGTCCCATTAGTCCAGTGGACTAGTTGATTACATAATCTTCACTTCTTATCACTCTTCTTTCTTCTGCACATGGAGAGACATACAGTTGTACCTTAGATGGCCTCTGATGAGCATTTAAGATCCCAGATTCTAATCACCAAAATAGGGTATAGAACATAGTTTTTGTGGACACCTGTTGACCGTGGTGTCTCCTTATACTGTGGTCCTGAGCCCCTAGGCCCAACAACTCATTGCCTTAGGATATTTAATAATATCTAAGCTTTGCCCACTGTATGCTTTCCATGAACTTTGGAAGTTGCCTCATACACTGTTTTTTCCTGTTACATGTTATATGCTTATTTGAACAAAGATAAAAATGTGGACGAATGCATCCCTGGCTGGGAGTCTGGGGTTGTTGTTGTTAAGTGCTGTTGAGTTGGTTCTGACTCAAGAGTGATCCTATATAAGATTTCTAAGGAGCACCTGGTGGGTGTGAACTGTCAACCTTGTGGTTAGAAGCCCAATGCTTATCATACATCACCCACCAGGAGTTCTGGGATAGGGACCTCTTTTTCATCTTTGGTTTTTGGTTGGTCATAATAAATGCATGTTAATTTTTAATAAAAAAGATAAAGTTTAAATGAAAAATAGGCAATCATATAAATGAATTATTAAAGCTTAAGTGTTTGGGTAAAAATCTAGTTTATAGATTCAATGTTACCTACTATAATGCTAATGATATTTTGGACTTCATTACCTAAAATCAGATAAAAATTCAAGTTCAAACCCACTAGCTTCTCCTTGGAAACCCTATACAGGGTTGCTATGAGTTGGAACTCACTTAGCGGCACTTAACAACAAAAAAACTACAAAAAACTTAGCAACTATTACAAGAGTCCAGATTCAGAGTTAGCTATTCAGATGACATTTATGGTTCTAATTTCTCACAATATTAAAGATAGAAAAAATAAGCAGTATCATTTATGAAACATTCAGCTCTAGGTCAAACGTTTCCTTTCTTCCTCTTTCCCATTTGTTAGTAATATATCTTATCTCTTTAAGTCAGGCTTCATTCCAGATTATAAATTCTGTCCCTTCCCAACAAGATCCGTTCTTAAATTGTATTTCTAGAAACAGTTTAGTTTTCTACCTCTCCTTTGTATACTTTTCTTTATCTTAATTCCAAATTGAATTAATTAGTTCCACTACACCAAGATATTTGTTGAGTACCCTCACTTTGCTAGAATTTAAGAACTGAGACATTTGTTTCTTAAGACTATGAAGAAAATAGGTGTTTTTTTGTCCACTCAATATAAATCCTTCCATAGTGATATCTATGTTTTGTTGTTGTTTTTAAATTAATTTCTAGGACACAGCTTCCTAAACATCTATGAAATTGAAATGTGTCCTAGACATACAAAAAACAATGGTGTGTCTTGAAGTTAATTGCACTTAATTAATGAAGTATAGTAGACAAAGGGGAAAATAGATATTATCAGAGTATTGGATTTTACCAAGGTGTAAATGGAAGACAGACAGGTAAAGGAATAAGCGTAGAAGGGGGAAGTAAGAAAGTATACAAATGACTAGATTTTTCCTCTTGCTTCAATGATTGCTTTAGGAAATGAAGATCATATAAACAAGAGAATGAGAAATATTCTAGTGGGACACCAAATAATTGAGTATTTGTGGAGTCTTGTTTTATTTACTGTTTTCTCTATGGAGTAGGGGATATAGTTTAAGATGGGATAGAGAACACAGTCTCAAAATGTAAAGAAGTGAGTGGAGGATCTTTGAAAAATCTTAAAAGAAAAGCTTGCAAATCTATTTTTTTTTTTTTAAATTGATCATCTTAGGGGCTAAATTTATATTCAGGAGTGCTTTATATTGTAACATTTTAGTATACAGTTGCTGATAAGTTAAAATTACTCTAGAGAAAATATCAGAATGAATATGTCAATTCAGTTGAGATATTATACAAAGAAAATGACAAAATAAATATTCATATTTATTCTTTATGAATATTGCATAAGTTTCTTTAGTGTAGACTATTAATGCCAATGCTTTCATTGAGCAAAACCCTTTGGACTGCATTTAACAGAACGAAAAGTTTTCCATTCACTTACTTGAACTCCAAAATGTTTATTTCGTGGCGATAATCCCCCTGGACCATCTTTAAATTTGAGGTTTGCTCAGAACTGGAAGCCTCTATCTTTCCTAAGAGCTGCATTACCTAATGAAAGTATAAGAGGGAGCTTTTTGTCCGTGTGTGTGAACAATACAATCAGTACATGCATTAATTATACTTTATGCCTAAAAGAGCCAGGAAACCGACTTGAACCTAAAGCAAACTTGCATTTGAAAATGAAGTTTTTCAAGTAAGTATAATTCAATATTTATAGAACTATCGCCACAGAAAGAATAGTAGGGAATGTTCCAGTCTATTGTCTTTAATAGTTTCTTGATAATAGGTCGCCTAGTGATTTAATGGAGTCCTATGTGGTGCTGTAGGATAAACACTGGACTGCTAACTGCAGGTCGGTGGTTCAAACCCATTAGCTGCTCCTTGAAAACTCTAGACAGGGTTGCTATGAGTTGGAACTGACTTGATGGGATTTAGCAACAATAGCAACAAATGATTTAATAGATACATACTGTTAGCATTAGTTTGTTAATTTGATTATTTTTTTACTTTCTCTCTCCCCAGGTATAATGCAAACTCTCCTGCTCACCATTCTATCCACAGTGCATTTTCAGTGACCCACAGTAAATACTCAACAAAATAGTTATAGAATAATTGTTTAAATGCATGACTAGGATCTGAGGAATACACACATGACTGACCTAAAGTTAGGCCCGAAGTGTTTCCAGGTACCATTCAGACATGAACACAATCCCAGATGAAACCTCTGGTAGCGTAGTGGTTACGAATTGGGCTGCAAGCCGCAAGGTCAGCAGTTTGAAACTACCAGCTGTTCTGCAGGAGAAAGATGAGGCTTTCTGTTCCCGTAAAGATTTACAGCCTCGGAAACCCTGTGCAGGGTCGCTATGGGTTGGAACCGAATCGACGGCACTTAACAACAACAATAGCAAAGACTGGAAAAGATAAGTCGCAGTTTTAGAAACTATGATAAAAGTGCCTTCCACATTGTCAGAAACATCAGGATTTCCTTTAGGTAAAATGAAGGAAAAAACTGAAAAACAGATGTAGACTTGCAGCATTAAAACTAGAAATTAATTAGAAAGATTTATATATATAGCAAATATCCAATCATTTGAGTAAAAACAAAAGACACTCTTAATTCTAGTGTTGTAGTGAACAAGGAGATGTTTCTGTGAGGTCTCCTGTTGTAGGGAACATGATTGGTCAAGGACCCTGATGACTGTGCTCAAAGTCCATCAGTGTGCAGAAGTCATGCTTCCCATAGCCTGAATAGTACTCCTCTGGTTGGTCAAGGAACTCGATGTAACTTTCTTAGGATGGCACTGCAGTCTCAGACCTTCCTTCCCCATCTTCCCAGAGGAGTTAGGCACATCATGTAGTCTGAAGGCTCTCCCCACCTACTCCAGCTCTTTTCCCTCAGAGGTTTTTCCCTCAACAAATCTCTTGCATTCTGTTTTGGCATTTGCTTCTCAAAGGATTTGAACTAACATTAGTTTCAAACTATAAATCAACATTGAACGATTTACTTAGAAAATAATGATAATGAGAATACTATATCAAAATAATAGTCAAATTTATGGGATTGTGTTTTTATAATTATCTAAGAAAGAATGAAACCACACAAGCTAAGTATTCGTTTCACAAAGTTAAAAAGAGACTAACAAACCAAACCAAAGAAAAGTAGATGAGGAAATTGTCAAACAGTGTTAGGCAGTGTGACAGTTTTGTGTCAGCTTGA